AATCTTCCCTCTACCTCTTCTGTAATGAGAACTGATACAAGAGTTCACAGGGGTTACCTTCTGAGCAAACCATTTCTTCCTCTCTCCTAAAGAAAAGAGAATGACTGCACTACGACTCACTAAATTCAAATAGTATATGCCATTCAAAATTGTTTAGTGTATTAAATGAATATAAAGTCAAGCAACAGCATAAAATAGAGTCAGTTCCCCACTCATCTTTTTCTCTTGGTTGCAGAACCAAGATTCATTAATGAAAAACTCAAGCATCTAGGACAAGGAAATTCAGTTTCTACCCTTGTGCCAAGCTATGTGGTTCTAAGATGAGCTCTGGAAGCTGCAGAAAGTCAACTAACAAGATAAGACAGGCTGGAAAGATTCAACTGGCATAAAATGCTCTTCAGCATCCAACTGTTCTCAAGAAAGAACTGAAATGCAGGGGAATGCCAATCTGGTATATTCGGTCTCCTTAGCAAAATGATCTGTTGAGACCTCAAGATAAAAATTAACCAGGGATGTAAGTCAGCCCCCCCCAAAAAAAAGGAGTTTTGATAAAAGACTTCCGAGGGATGAGAGTTTCCAGAGAATTACAACTATGGGTCCTCTGACATAAAGTGACTACATAAAAGAATTCAAATGAATTCCAATCTCCCATATTTGGATCATAATCTATGATGATTCAAAGGCATTGCCAGACATAATTTATTGATGCATTAAGTAAGGCTTTGGCAAAGTGAAATTTAAAAAAAAGAGTCAACTGTTATAACTAAGTCAAGATAATAGACATAATAGTTGGGCTTTACTTAATTCCTCCTACTTGAATTTGTTTGTAAACTCAGATAGGACTGTGATTCTCACAATGGAACTCACCTGCCCATTAAAACAGAGGAATCAAACTAAATTATGCCAGTGCTGTAGGAACCACAGGTTGGAATTGTATGGCAGCTCCCAATGTAACCTTTCTCTGACTTACGTAACAATGATGCTTTTGGGCCTACTATGTTCTGTAAAGAAAATCCTGTCCTCGTGCAGCACCTATGCTGTAAGATTTTTCTGAATTGATAAGTAAAACCCAAATTCTCTCCTCCTAAAATTTCTGTGATTGGTGTTAGTAATTAATTTACTTTTAAAAAATCAATCCCATTTCTAGGAATGCAAATGATTAGGAATATGAATGAGTCTTTTTAGTACCCAATTAATATCAGGCTATCTTTTCATAGCAAATTGAAGATGGAAATTAAATATTTCTGAAGACTTTCTTTGAAGCATGCATACTTTACCAAATAATACTTTCATTCTGCACTTTGCTGTCTTGCTCTGGCCTTTTCACCTAAAGTCAAAAGGAAGGTCAAGCAAATCTGACTTATGAAGTAGGATTATCTTACACCTGACATTTTTAAAAATTCATTTCTCTTTTATGAAAATATAATTCAATCTCAGAAAAAATACATTTTTCTTAGGAGCACTTGTATGAGAACTGGCTTGAAATTTAAAGATAAATTTAACTTGTGACTTTACATACAGAAGTAGTGTCAGTCCCTCCAATATTCTTTCATGATTAAAAAGGGAACAATAGAATCCCAAATGAAACAAATGGTATTATACCTTCATTCTTTTCAGACACGGGAATTGGGAAAATTCAAAGTATTTCTACACAGCACAATTAAGAAAGAAAAGCAAAACAAAACAAAGAGGAAATTAAGAGACAACTGTGAGGCCCAGGTTGTAGCTCAGTGATAGAGTGCTTACCTAGCATGTGGAAGGTCCTGGGTTGGAGTCCCAGCATTGCAAAAAAAAAAAAAAAAGTGAGGGGGGTTAGATAACGGTGGAGGTAGGAACATGAGGGGAGGAGCAAGAGACAACTGGTCAAAAGTGTATCTCAATCTAAAAAATAAATAAAAGGGTGAACAAACTCATATACACACACTCTCTCTTTCTCTTTCTTTTGGATAAAGTATTTATTCAGAAAAACATTAACTTCGGATTTCTTTTATTAAGGGTAACAATATGAAACCCGTTCAGGCATACTCAGATTGGAGTTCTTAGGAATGACTGGAATTGTCACAGAATGGTCATCCATGGGAATTGGTGTTAATAGAATATAAATAGACTGAAGAATAATTTTATTCTTCCATAAGTTCCAGACATAAATTGTGTTTTTTTTATAAATTTGTTTGACATATTACATAAATCAATTTTCTATTAAATGCAGCCTAAAATTCAAGTGATGGCTAATTTGGTAGCCAGTCTCCACTTGGTCTTGACACATTCTGCATGCGTTGTCAAGTTTCACACTGTTAATTTTCTAACAAGCAGTTTGGTTTTCAGATACCTCAAGGCCAGTTGCTGAGTCCAAACACAAACTTTGTAAGTAAAATACAAACACCAAGCAGCAAGATATGTTAAACACACAATATCAGGATTCTCCTTTAACATTAGAGTTCTTTTCTCTCATATACTTACCAATTTTTATGATACATTTTTCATTATGATGAATCCAGTATGTAAGAAAACTCCCAATTTATTATCCATAGAAGACTTCTCGTATCTACTCTAGTCTTTTTAGCAGGAGGTTTTTTGTTGTTGTTGTTGTTGTTTGTTTGTTTTTTGTTTTTATCTTACATGTTATCAACAATATTTTTCTAAAAATATTTGTAGTTGAAAATCCTAATGAACATACGCTTTGTTAGAATACAATATATATTTGATAAACAAGGATATGTTTGATAATCATGTCTATATGGGATAGAAGCACATTCAATCAATACTGATTTCAAAGTGAAATGCCTTAAGTTTATACATGCCATGAACAATTCATCAATGTCATCATTATTTTGCAAAGTATTATCTTCTCCAAATGAAGCTTAATTAATAAAACTGAAGAAAAATAACAGTCATGTTATGGGCAAATGTATTTATTCACTTTTATTGGAAGAGGGAATTTTGTAAATGAATTATATGAAATGATTATGTCTGGAAGAATAAAATATTTCAAAAAAGGACTTCTTTGGGAGAAAGAAAACCTCTGTTTTGGAAACTACACAAATATTTGCATACACAGGAAGAATTATAAAGGAGATGAGTGGCCTAGAAGGGTCTTTGTAAATGCCTATCACTGAAGTCACTAAAAATAAAACAAATGTTACTTGGGAATAGATCAAATTTTGTTATTTTGCTTTGAATGGTAAATTACGCACAAGTCTCAGATTTCCTTTTGTCAATAAAGATGCTATTGGTCAGTGGTAATCTTTTTAAAGAGCAGAGAAGGGATGGGACCATTTCTACCTACTTCCTCAAAAAAAAAAAACTAACTAAATAAAGAAATATAATAAAATTTGGGAAATAATTCATTTTCCTTTTTTGCATCAAATTTTTAAAAATTTATTTATGGTGAGCTATAAAGATGTAACTGCATTTTTTAGAACAATTACATGGTAGCTCAAATGTTTTTTAGCTACACACAGGTTTGCTATCTCTGAGAGAAAAAATAAGTAAGGTAAATTTCATGCTTATATAACCTGAAATAACTCCTATTAGAATAACTACTAAAATTAGTTCTTTTTAGTTAATTTATACACCAGGTAAAACAGAACAAATAGAAAGTATTCATATTAAGAACACCAAATTATGTTCTGTCACTTTTAAAGGTTCTTAGAGTTTTTAAAAGTTTTTTAGAGCTCCTTTGAAATTTACTGATAAATATGAGTTAAAATTAAATGTTAACTTTAAGAAACAGTTAAATATATGAGAAATTTGCCCTTCAACTCTGTTCAAACTATTAAAATAAAACAGACAAATCATAGTTACTTATAAATAACAATATGTATCACTAGAACTATGGCAGTTTACATCACTGAAAACTATCACATATAATGTGCTTGGTACCCAGTCACAGAAAAAACAAAACATTGATCTCAAAAGGATGAATACATGGTCCTTTAAACAAATACTATACATGATCTTAAGATCATGTATATACTATACTTCAGATCTTAAGAAAATTTACTTGTAATTTTTGAACCTTTGTTTTCAACTGTTATACAAACTTTCAAATAAAATGCAAACTTTTATGATTTATAAAGTCAAAATTAACTTTTAAATTCACCTTCACCTCTCTATACAACAATTTATCTTGAGATATTTCCTCTTTGCTAACTCAAATACAACCAACATGAAGTTATTTTAAGCTGCAATTTAAATTTTTCCAAAACGTTGACTGTTAAACTTGACTGGGTTCTATCCTACCCAAATACATACAAACACACACACACATATATTCTACCTATATATGTATGTATGTATGTATATATACATATACATACATACATATAAATATTTGAGTAGAATATTTGTTTTAAAATCTCATTGTTCAATTCAGAGAATAACACTTCATGAAAAGGTTTTAGGGATTATGATATATTATATTGCAGGTTCATTATAAAACAGTGACACATTGTCATCACATTTAAAGTTGTAAAGTTCATGAATTTTTTTCCAGCATTCCATAAATGGATTAACTTCTAATTATTGTCTATTTGGCAAAACACATAACCTTAAAAGGGGGACTTGGTTTACAGTAGTCATTTAAATAAGCACCAAGTAAATTAATTTCTATTATTTTTCAGAGGAAACTGCAAAAATTTCACTACCAGACAAAATTTATAGTTTTAATATTTTTAACTCTTTAACCATTGATTCAAATATTAATTTTATCATTCACTACTCCAACCATCCACCCCCACCCCTTCACTCCTCCACCAGCATTTTAAGGTTCATATTATTTGGTAGTGTTTGTTTAAAAACAACACTGTAACTAACTGCAGGAAACTTTTTTGCTAAGCATCACTCAGAAAAAAAAAAGATTAACTCCCATCCAACTAATGTTAAATGCAGGGTTACCCATCTGGGACAAATCTTTAGGTGTGGATTTAAAATGGGAAAATTAAAAGGAGGTTCCTGCAGTCATTAATGAAATTAGGAGAGCTTGACTTGAGAATTCTCACCTTTTGAGCTGCTTTAGAAGGACTCTTGTTTTTGCTGCCTTTAGGTCTTCCCCTGGGTCTCTTAGGTGAGGGCTCACAGGTTGGCTCCTAATTGTGGGAGGAAAAAAATGCTGTTGTGGCAAAGACCGCCTGAAAGAAATTGACCCAGACTCTTTAGCTATGTTTTCTGCATGTGCTGCTCAACAGAGCTGCTGGAATACATTCAGTTCAAATATAAATGGATGATAATAGTACAGAGTTTACAGAAAGGGGAAATGACTATACTTTTAATTCAAGAATTCAAAGAGGAAACTATTTTGCATAAGAAAACTAGATTTTATTTCAAACCCAAAATGGTAGCAAAATCTGAAAAGGCTGCATGTTCTAGAAAGAAAATCATATATTTTTAAGATATAAAAGTTTACATGGTTATGCATTTGGCAATACATGGAAATAATGATCATTTTACATGAATACCACTATCCATTATTTCAAACAACAGAAATATGAAGCTAGCATTCTCAATAATCTTCATATTGAAAAGGTATCTTTTAATCATCTCTGTATATGTGCATTCTAAATTGATTAGGAGTCAGTCGACACATTCTGAGTGAAATATTGGAGCAATTACCCAACTTCTTCAGCTCAAAACAATTCCATTCCCCCTAAAAGTTCCAAATAATTATGGTAAACCTGAGGGGGGAGGTTTTGCTTGAATTATCTAGATAATTGCTTCAATTCTCCACTTCCTTTCCATGAGGCGGGCATGGTCTCCAGTCGAAATCTAAGTTTCTTTTTATAAGAATGAGCATGTTTTATTCAGGATACTTTTATGGTGATGGATTGGAGGAAACCAAAAGGAGGAAAGGGAAGATAAGAGGAAAAATCTGGGAAGGAGAAATTGAAACAATCGTATCTATAAGCAAAACTTTAAATGGCTCCTATGCCAAGTAGTAAATACTAAGTGGTTAAGAAAATGTGATGATTACTATTTCAAATCTTAAATATTTATCCCGTGAATCATTCACATTTCCTTCAGATTCGGTGATTAAATCAGACTAATTAAAATGCATGAAAGTTCTCAATGAAAATTCACATCCTACTTAGATAATCTGGGAACAGTTCCTTACAGGCTTCTGAGGGATACTAGTTCCAGTGGGGCACATCCTGAACACACACATCCCTAGACACATTTTTCTTTCTTTTGTGAACTCTGCCTTAACTCGAAGGTAAAACTTCCAATCACCTCCAGATTCCCTAATATTTTCTTTCAGATTTTTTTTTTTTTTTTTGGCGTGTGTGTGGGTGCAAATTAGCAGAGCTGGGTGGCTGGTGGGAAATGGGGTGGGGGGGGGTATAGGGCAGAGACTTCCTGGGAGGTGTAAAACAGGATCCAAACGCGATATAAAGTGTCGCTTGCGCAGAGCGGGAAAACTCAGGGGCTTCTAGATTGGCTTGTTTCCTTTGATGATTTCAAATAGGTACAACCCTCTCAGTTTATGCATTGTTAAGCAAACCTTGTTCAATTTCCCTCAACTTGCTCTCGGGTAGGTTTTGGACTCTAGGATTATTTTCTCATCAGTCTATTTGCCATGAGGAAAGTGAGTTAAGAATAAGGAAAGAAGAAGTTTTAAAGTCCGAAGAAGCGGAGTTTAAATGTTCTTGTGGTCATGTTCTGCTCCAACCCCGCTGGCTGAGCCTTGGAAATTGCAGCGAACAAAACCCCCCCGCCCTGGGCGCTGCGCACAGCTCTGCAAGAGCCTGCGGCACGCTTAATTGGTTGCATCCGCAGACAAAACCCTCTGCTCCGCGGGGTCCCGGGCGCCCCTCGATTGTACCCTCCCAGCCCCCAGCAGCTCGTCCCAGGGAAGAGCATTTAATGCGAAAGAACATTAACGTGGGATCCAGGAGCAAAAGGGAGAAGGGGCGCTTGGCTAGGAAGTGACCCTAGCTACTGTGCACTTTCACGGACACTCCTTCCAACGCGCCCTAGGCGAAGCGAGTTAACCCGTCCGGCTGGGCGCCTAGGATCCCCTACAGCCCCTTCCCCGGACCACCTCTGGCGGCTATCGCAGGGAATTTAAAGATCCCTTAAGAGCACCCGGCAGCCCGGTCCCCACGCGTTCTTTGTCGGGAGGGCGCGAGCCTTGGGCCACCGAGAGCTTGGGGAGGGCGCCAAGGGGGGCGACTGCGGCGCGCCAAACTGCGGGTTAGCAGCCCCAAGAGGCGGGAGAAAGAGCCTCTGGGCCCCAGGACTCCAGCCCCTTCAACCCCAACCGGCTAAAGTGCCCTAGTCCCCAGCGACTCGCTTCCCCGGGTAATTGCAAAGGCAGCTTAGATTTGTGGGACCCCGGCCGCTTCCAGTCACCAGGAGACCCCGCGCCACTCAGGGCCGTGCACAATAGCGAAAGTCCGAGGACATGCTTCGCACGACCCCACCTCCCGCCTTTCCAGGGCCGCCCGCAGCGACTCCCCACCTCCCATCCCCAAGGGGAGCTGTAGCTCCGCGGTGAACTCTAAGGGGATCCGCCGCCCGCCCCCCTGATCAGCGGGCTATGTGAAGCCGCCGCGGACACTAGGCTCCCGCGCTCTGGTCGCCCGACGCGTCGGGGGCCCTCGCAGAGGACACGGAGGTGGACTAGAGCCCCCGCCGCGCCCGCGTACTGACTTGCTGTTGCTTCCTGGGTCGGCCGCGTCCTCTCTTCTGAGGCGCCGGGACTGCAGGTTGTCCCTGGGCTGAAGTGGACGGCTGCCCGGCGCCTTCACCGCGTGCGCTCATCCTGCCTCCTGCAGCCGCCGCCGCCGCCGCAAGCGCTGCCTTCGCCGCTACCGCTGCCGCTACTGCTGCTGCAGCCGCTTAGCCTCAGCCACCCGGAATCTGCCCAGCACCTTTCGGGAGACTGGGTGAGAGGGCTGGAAAAGCAGGCAGGGAGAGCGAGAGCTGGAGTGCTGCGAGGACTGCTGTTGCTTAGGCTGCCGCCGCTGCCACCATCAACACCGGACGTCCAGCGGCTGCCAAAGAGAAAAGAGGGGAGGAGGAGGAGAGAAGGAGGCGCTGCCGGTGGCGGCGACAGTGGTGGGTGAGTGCCGAAGGTGGAGGTGGTTTTGGCGGTGGAGGTAGCGAGCGGAGGAGGGAAGCCGAGGAAAAGAAAAGAGGGTTTGAAGTTGGAGAGACTCTTTTCTCGGTTTGGGATCAGGAGTTGCGGGCACTGGGAGCACTTCGGCAGAGGCTTGGAAAGGGAAGAGACTTGGAGTGAATTGTGTCCCTTGAAATGTTAGGCGGGGAAAGAATTCCTCCTCCTCTTTTCCCCGCGCTAGAGAGAGAGAGAGAGAGAAGGAAGGGAGCGATCGAGGGAGAGAGAGAGAAAGAAACAGTGACTTGGGCAGTCGGGAGGGAAAGGGAAGATGCGGTCGAGCTCAAGTCGGGCACTCAGCGCAAGCAAGGGACAGAGGAGTGGGTGGCACCCCGCCTCCTCGGGTGGCGGGAGCAGGCAGCGGCGGCACCGAAGAGTCAGAGAGACTGGCCGCTAGCTTCTGCGTCCTGCACCAAGCGCTCGCTGCCCGGGCTGGAAGTTTTCTGAGTTCCTGCCCCAGGATTCAAGGGGGATGAGTGTGTGTGTGCTTGCGGCGGGGGTGGCGGGACGGGGGGAGTGCCCACCTCTAATCGTGGGCGGATAAAGGGGAGGGGGCTGCGCAGGAGGAAAAGTATGAGGAGGAGGGAGGCCAGGCAGACCGCCGAGCCAAGGCGCCTGGCCGCGGGCCAGAGACAGAGTTCGAAATACAACTGCCTTGGCGGCGGCGGCGGCGCCCGGGTGCCACCCGGAGCCCGGCTCACGTGCTCCCGCCGGGCGGCGGGGTTAAAGGGACAGACCGGGGATCCCCAGCCGACCAGCTGCGGGCCTCGCCCCTTTGGCCGGGAGGTCACTCCCGGGCGGCCGTCCTGGGAAGGCGCGGGAACTTGACTGCCCCAAAGACACATTTTAGGGCTCGGCCTTTACCTGCGCCTCCACCGCGCGGAGCCAAAACTTTGCCGGAAGCGTCTAGCTGCACTGGCTGCAGCGTCCTAGTTCACTGAGTGGGAAGGCACTGCTGAGAAGTAGGAGCTGGCCCCTGACAGCCCTACTCCACCTAGGGACTTCCTCACCCCTGGGCGCGCTGCGAGCACGCACACATACAACATTCACGAAGATACACACGCATAATCACATGCGCACTTGCACGCAGACACGCGTGCAAACGCTCACACAATATGCACTCGTAAACACGCACGTAAATACAGGCGAACTTAAACACACATACATAACAGGCATACAGACATGGCACCTTTGTAGACACAAGCACGCCGAACGCGCCAGTTTCTTCATTGAGCTTTTTTCTCCAAGAAAGACTAGGGGCAACACAAAGTCCCCCTGCGACTGGTGCTACGCACCGGGACGCTCACTCACGGTAAAGGGGACCTCACAGATTGCCAACAGCACGGTTGAACCGTCTTTTCAGTTTACCTTTATTTAACCTTCTCCTTTTCTGACCTAATTTTATAGCCTGGGCTGTTGCTGAGCTATGTGAACACCATACTGGCCACGGTCCTTTTTAAAAAGGTGGAGTACTCTTTTTTAAAAAAAAAAAAAAAATACACCTCTTTTTCATCCTTGAATAACGCAAAACCGAAAAAAAAATTAGGTTCGGGTTTTCACACATCACACCCAAAATTATTTTGGACTAATTCCAAAATAAAAACTTTCACCCGGGGAAGAATTTTTCTTTCAAAGATACAGACCACCGTGTAATAAAAACGCCTGCTCTGCAGCCCTAGGCAGGCAGTTAGGCACCGCCAGGTTCCGCTGTGAATGTGGAGGAGGCGCGTGTAAATGTCTGCTTCCGCGCGACGGCGCTGATTGGTCCGCGTTGCCATTTTAAATCCATTTCCAGCTGTCCTTTGCAGAGTTGAGACACTACGCTGCACGTTGAGTGCTCTGCAGGAACCCAGGGTTGCTCCTGGGTCTGGGAACGCTTAGCTATGATGGAGAGGGAGAGCCCCCATCCCTCCAGATGGAGTCCAGCAGTTGACTGGGGAAGGAGGGGTCTAACAGGAACCAAAGGTTTTCTGTCAGGAGTTGGCTGAAAGATGGTATCTTCATCAAAAGGATTGAAATTTCACTTACTAACGATTGCACTGACATTTCCTAACTGCCAAGTTTGCACATTTTTGGAATATGAGCACATATTTGCACAGTGGTGTGCACATTTTACATACACATACAAAATGAGCTTCTGGGTTTGTTTTTGTTTGTCTGCTTTTTGCCCGGAGTTGAGATAAAATTCTGAGGATGAATGTAGACCAGGTCATCCAGGATTTCAGTTAGCTAGCTTTATACTAGATACCTCATTATATCTTGATTTTTTTTTCAATGCAGAGACTGGCAATAAGGTGATTTTAATATTTTATTTATGCAATCCATCCCTGAATCTAAAATAAACACAGAAAAACTGGGAAAGGGGAACGCCCAGTCTGCTGTTTTCAGGCCACTTTGCTACCAGACTACTTAATCCCTTTTGAATTTATATAGAGAGGGATAGAAAGAAAAAAAAAAAGATATTGCATGAAGTTTTGTCTAAGATGTTCGTCTTATATATTTTCATTATTTGGAAACCTCATTTAAGTTTTTTAGATTGCTATGTTTTCTGCAGGCAAGACATTAAAATTCATCTTCATCATAAATGGATGGAACTTGAGCCTATTATGTTAAGAGAAATAAGCCAAACTCGGAAGGTCAAGGGTCGTATTTTTTCCCTTATGTATGGAAAAAGGAAAAGAAAGGTGGGGGGTGATGGCATGAAAATCAAAGAGAGATCAGTAGAATAGAGGAAAGGGACAAGGGAGTGGGAGAAGGGGAGAAAGTGGGGGGTGTGCTGGGAAGGAACTTTGGCCAATGGTATTGTTACAGTGTGTGCATGTACGATTACGTAACAACAAATTCCACCATTATGTACAACTATGACATACCAATAAAGAAAGTATGGGAAAAATTTATCCTGTTGATAAAAATTATTTTTAAAAATGGTGTCCTTGGGCCTGAGGTTGTAGTTCAGTGGTTGAGCACTTCCTTTGAATGTGTGAGGCCATGAGTTCAAGCCTCAGCACCACATAAAAAAATAAGAAAAATAAATAAAACAAAGACATTGCGTCCATCTCTAACTAAAAAAAACTTTTTTAAAAAATGGTGTCCTTAAATATTTTTATAAAGCTAAATGGTTAGATTTTTCTCTTTGAAGAAAGTTGTTTTGTTTTTACATCTACATTTGAGATGTTTATTTTCCCAAAATGTTTCTCAATTCACTTCTCCTTTATTATACCATATATTACCAATCCATTCAAGGGTAAACTCTTTCTAATTTGAGAACTTTCCAGGTGGTTTCTGTCCACAATAAATGGTTTCTTTTCTTCTTCACCACCTACTATCAAATTGAACAATTAGCACCTTGGTTGTATATGTTAACAAGGTTTCTGATTATCTGTGACACATGATTTAGATTAGTGTTTAGATCAGATCAGCTCATTAGTGGGTGGTAAAATCAATTTAGTGGACTCAGAACACCATTAAAAAACAGAATAGAGATTATCCCATGTAAAATTTCTGATTTTCATTATATAGTACATATGCATAAAAATTGTTTTAAATTTTTTCCCCTACCATTTAGCATCTTGGAAACTGGGATGTGTCTTAGAGTTAAGAGTGTCTTAGCACTGTGTTATTACATTTGAGATAGTACTATTGCTGTGTTAGTGATACACCTGATATTGGATGTCATATTTACATGTAAAGTCAATTGCTTGCTGCAAATTACAGAGAGACATGTTTAAATGCCACTGACTTAGAATTCCTTTATACCTCCACTAAACTGGATTTTTGTGATCTCTGTGGTGTTTAACAAATCATCTCTCATCTCTGTATCTCAGTGGCTTCCTTTCTAAAATGAAAGATGAGTATAATCTATGAAAGTTTTTCCAGTTCTAATAAATAAATCATGTATTAATGTCTTGTTTTCTAATTGCATCATGATGATATGTAAATTTTATCTAAATTCCTTGGACAGGTAGTATTTCTAACACTTCTTTTTTGGGGGGCCAGTTTTGTCTAGGTCGTATTCAGTTCAAAGATAAACTTTTGGTCATTTCTTCTAATTTATTGCTATGACAAAGTTACTTTTATTAAAGTTACTATGTTTACGAAATGAGAAAAGTGTTACTTATATTAAAATATTTTCAAAATTCTTTTGACTAAAGGAGATTCATCTATGATAAAGAGGTTGAAATTCTCACATTGTACTTAGTTACATTATATTTAAACTTAATGCATTCATAAGGAATGACTTAAGGATTTTTAGATTATAATGAATTATGAATTATGGGTGCATTTTATTACAGGAATTAATTATGACTAGATATTGAAAGCAAATCTATATAGGGCCACAGAAAATTATAGTATTTATTGAACAGAAATTACAAATATATATATATATATATATATATATATATATATATATATATATATATAAACTCAGTGTAATACAAAGTAAACACATATCTTGCCTTCAGATGCTACCATTCTAATTTGGATGAAAAAAAAATCTCAAGTGTTTTTAAATGAGTTCTTTTGCATGGCTTAAGCCCACAATTTGTTTCTTTAAATATGTGTAGTACATAATAAAAGATGGGAAAGATTACTCTCAGAGTTTCCCTATAGCTTCACCACATACAAAATATGTGTTGCTAAATTAGCTTTTTTATTTGTTGTTTTTTGACAAGTTTCCTATTCCTCTAGTAAGAGGATCATCAAAGTGACTTTGTTTCTTTTTTCTATTTTTATTTTAATTTTTTTGGTACTGGGGATTTGACTCAGGGGTACTCTACCACTGAGCTACAGACTAATTTTATTTTGAGACAGGATCTCACTAAGTTCACCAGGCTGACCTTGAACTTGAGATCTTCCTGCATCAATCTCCCCAGTGGTGAGGATTACAGGCATGTGCAACCTGCTCCTGCCTGTTTAAATACTGGTTTTTAATAAGTTGAATGCACATTGACTTGGTTTTACAGGAATCACCTATTGTTCTCTCAGGACTCAGGAATGTAATTCATCTAAAATTAAAGAGAACCTCTTAAAATAACTAGTATTCATTTAAAAGCTATTTACTTATCACTTTAAGCCTTCCATTTACCTTTACAAATCTTTAGTTTTCTCTATCCAGTTCATAGTTCATTCAACAACTATATTGAGAACCACCTATGGGCTTGAGAATCATATTCTTTTTGACAAAAGTCATGGAAGCAGAACAGAAATGTAAGTTTCATTTCCATCTCTTTATCTTGGACATTATACTGTTAGCCCCAAACAATCATATGCTCTCTATATATAATCAAACAGCTTTGGATAGTAAGAGGAATGTGGGCTTTGAAATCAGATTTAGCTGTGTGAAGTATGGCAGAGAGAACTCTAAAACTGCCCCCGAGATGTCCTGCTCCCCTGCTCTGGTGTACCTACATACATAATCCTCAGGACTATACTATG